AGGCCCGAAACGTCAGCCTTTTTGCTCCTATGATATTGCTTGGCCTGCTGTGTTCAGCCAGCTCTGCACCTTGTTGTCTCAAAAAATGTGAGAACTTGGCAGAGAATGAAGATGTCAGATGACTGTAAGCTGTCCCATTTTGGGCGACTACAGTTTTCCAGTGAAATTCATTCCAGTGAAAGAACAGGACCTCCCATTTTGACCAGGCATTTTTTACAGCCTTATAGGCTCAAACCACTTTAGATTACAACATCTGCCCTTATTCTGTTTTCTTTCTCTTTGCTAGTTTTATTTCTCTCCATTGCTTTTGGATGGCAACTATTCAGTACCCTGCCATTCACATCTCTTCTAGATGTATAAAAACCGAAGGTACTGCAGGTGCTGGAAAATCAGAAACAAAACAGAAATTGCTGGAAAAGCTCAGCAGGTCTGGCAGCACTTGTGGAGAGAAAGCAGAGTTAACGTTTCGGTTCCAGTGACCCTTCCTCTAGTCCCCTATCTCTTGAAACCTTTCCTAGTGATGTACCCGTCCAGATGTCTTTTAAATATTGTAATTATACCAGCCTCTGCCACTACATTACCCTCTGCATGAAAAAGTTGTCCCTTGGGTCCCTTTAAATCATTCCCCCCTCACCTTAAACCTATGCCCTCTAGTTTTGGACTCCCCCACCCTGGGGAAAAGACCTTGTCTATTTACCCTATTCATGCTCATGTTTTTCTAAATCTCTATAAAGGTCATCCCTCAGCCTCCAATGCTCCAGGGAAAATAGCCCCGGCCTATTCAGCTTCTCCCTATAGCTCAAACCCTCCAACCCTGGCAACATCCTTGCAAATCTTGAATTTGAGTAATGTGGGTTCTGAGGAAGGGTCATTGGACAAGACACTGATTTCTCTCCACAGATGCTACCAGAACTGTTGAACTTTTCCTCTAGTCACATCCTTTGTTTCATCTCTTGTCTAATTATTACACCTCCTGGCCTTGCACCACAAAATCTTATTAAATCTCTCCTGCCCTCTGCCCTATCACAGACCTTCGTTTTTGATCTCCCCATCCTCTTCCTACCAAATTTTTCACTTGCTCATAATCTATACTTTGTTAAACTTTTTACAATTCTGACAACATATCAATCCTGTTTTTCTATTCACAGAACTGATGAGCTGTTTCCCCATTGTCTGTTTTGCTTTTGGATTTCCAGCGTCTGCAATACTTTGTTCTTGGACAATTTTTGCCCTTTCCTTTCCTCAAGTACTAAAATCATGGAGTCTGCAAGGTCATGTCTCAGATGTTGTTTGATCAGTAAAGGCAGTTTCTTAATTAGTAAGGGTTACAGGGAGAAGGCAGGAGAATGGAGTTGAGAAACATATTAGCCATGATCGAATGGCCTAATTCTGCTCCTATAGCTTACAGTCTTATGGTTTAGAAGGGAGGGAGAGAGAGACCGAGAGACAGCGAGAGCCAGAGCGAGAGCGAATATTAATCAACATCACCTTATTTCTACACTATCCTAGAGATATTAGGCAATGCCTGGACATGGGTTGCTTGCCAGATCACATGGCTGTACCTCTACGTTACGAGTTAGGGCATCTGAAAAATATAAAGACAAGAAAACAATAGTCAGCACCATTCTCTGCAGCCAGAAGCAGATGGACAGTGAAAAAAGTGCATTTTTGGCAGTGGAGAAAATATTAAAACAAAAAGCACTGCTGTCTTTACCACGAGTCTTGTTCTTTCAACAGATGCTGATAATGCAGAACTGACAATATCACCAGGAAAGAGCAGTCAGATTTAAGGGAAGGATGTTTTCCTCGAACAGAAGATTCTTGGAATCTTGGTTTGTCCGCAGCAGATTGTTCACCTTGCTTAGGGAGCAGCAGCAAAACCAACACTTTGCAGACATTGAACTTGCTGGTTGATGGGGAGCTTTGCCAGTAACATTAGTGAACGTGCACCGACTGCTGTAAGCCAGAACCGGGTAGCTCTGATAGCCGCACGGTCTCAACTTACTGGAGCATTTAATACTGTTACTTCAAACCTGTACTAAATAAAACCTGCACTGTAATCAGATGGAACTCCTGCAAACACTGATACCGAGGCAGCACTGACCTACATTAAAGCCACATTCATCACTTTCTCGACTCTGCTCTTCATTGGTACAGAAGTAGCCACAAACACAGAATCAGTAACGTCTGACTCTGTAGCAGTAAATATGCCTGGCCATTTTGGGCTCTCTGTCCAGTTTCCCAGTCGCAGTGCAACTTCCTGCTCCCTAATTATGGATATACAGAGATCAAATATTGCTGTCAATAAAGCAATTCAATATTGCTGGTCATTCTTTGAACCACTCTTGCATTCCTAAATAATTTATTACTCTCAACTGAGATAAGGAGTTACTTTAAAGCTCAGGAGAATTGAGAATCTTTGGAATTCTGTACTCTAATAAAAGGCCTTTGAACAACTGACGCGTCCATCCAAGATTGAGGTCAATAGATTTTTGAACACTAAGGGAATTAAGGAGACAGGGTGAGAAAGTAGAGTTGAAGGAGCAAATCAACCTTAACCTTATTGAATGGTGGAAGAAGCCCAAAGGATCATATGGCCCACTCTTGCTTTATGTTTTTAAACTTTCAGTGTAGCATGCAAGAGATTGATGCTATAATGTGCCCGTCTCCATAGAAGACGCACAGTTTAGAGCCAGGAATACGGTAGAATCAGAGGACTTGACCTGACAATGTAACAAACTGATATCTGTACAACACAGTAGGTCTGATTTTCTGAGGAGTTGCACTGTCACACAGATTACATTAAAAATAGGAATGGAGAGACAATGAAAGAGCTCCATGTTTCTGACAGGAGATTCTGATCAGGGCTCTGCAGGTAGTGCAGCACCCATCAGGGGAAGGCAAACCAAAGCCCCCTTTTTCATAGCAGTCTGCTGCTGTATTTTGAAATGTAAAGGTCCAGAATTGCAGACTGCCACTTCGACAGCTATTAGTGCGTAAAGCAAGTGTAAGGTTAGGGTGCCAGGGTGATCAGGTAAGGGATGGCATGTTCAGGGTGAATGGGAGATATTGGGTTCCAGGGTGGGTGTTGGAATGATGTCTGGCAGAGTGGGTGTATGTCAGGTTAGAGGCTGGGGATTACGTAGTTTGGGAGTGGGGGGGGGGGGGGGGGCGCGGTGAGGGAAGTCGGGTAGTCAACTACACTGAGGATAGTTACTCAGGAATTAGACAAGGTTTTGAATAGTCTAATTTTTTTCTGAGTAACTGTTAAATACAGTGGAACCCTGTGAACTCTCTGCTTTAAATGGCTACTTTCGGGGAGCCAGGTGTAGGGGAATTACACAGTGGAATCTTCAAATTTGCAGCAAATTCCTTTGGGATCTACAGCGATAGGGATTCCACAAAGTCCCCAACTATAACTTCCACCTAAGCTATAGAAACACTAATCTGGCCAGAAAATCTATCCAATTGAGGTTAAAGTCAAGTCTTTGCTTTTTTGGTATAAATTACATGCAATTAATTTTATTGTACAGGTATTTACAGCACAAAGCAAATATCTGGTTTGCCTGCAGTGTGCTGTACAAGAACATCTTCCCAACCCAATATAAAGATATACTGTTGCATATTTAAAAGAAAACCTGGGAAACAATTTCTTGCAACATTAAAATTTGTCATGAGATGGTGTTTTGAGACAATGTTCTTGGTCATCTACGTGCCCAATTTGAAATTGTAGGTGATAAGCAGATGGAATGCAGTGTAGGAACCCTAATTAGTTTACAGGCCATGACCGATCAGCATTTAATGCCTGCATATTTCTACCAAATACTACAATATGGAAGCTCCAGGAATGAAGAACCTGTTGACCATACCTCTCAGCATCAGAGACAGAATCAACAGTTTCTGGAACGTACGGTCTGGAACCACATCACTCAAGGAAGCGGAGTGAGACAGTTCAAGACTCAATACTCTAGACCGTGGAGATGGAAGACAGTTACTAGGAGTAGTAATGATGTAACGTTGAGCATCATTCACAGTATTCATATTCTGAAGTGCCTGTATCGAAATGCAGCAAGACCTAAACCACGTTCAGGCTTGGACTGATGAGTGGTGAATGATGGATGACTACTATCCTCAACAAGCGAGAATCTAAACATCACTACTAGACATTCAATGGCATCACGATGGTTGATATCCCCCACCGATATTCTGGAAGTCACTATTGACCAGAAACTGAACTGGATCAGCAATGTAAATACTGTGTCTACAAGAGCAGGTTAGATGCTGAGAATTCTGTAGTAAGTCACTTCCTGACACTTTAAAGTCAGGATTGTGACTGAATACTCCTAACTGGCCTGGATGGGTGCAGCTCCAACAACACAAGCAGCTTGACACCATCTGGGACAGAACAGCATCACATCCAAAACATTCATAGAACACAGAACAGTACAGCACAGGAACAGGCTCTTCAGTCCATGTCTGTGCCAGTTATGATGCTGTTGTAAACTATTCCCATCTGCCTGCACATGGTCTATATTATACGTCTATCTAAATGCCTCTTATGTAGAGGTGCCAGGTTGGACGGGGTTGGCCAAAATCAGAAGTCACATGACACCAGGTCATAGTCCAATAGGTTTATTTGAAATCACAAGCTTTCAGAACATAGCCCCTTTGTCAGGTGAAGTGAAGCAGAAGCACACAGACACAGAATTTATGGGCCGAGAGATCAAAAGATCATACAAATGGTGTGAATGGAGTGTTGAATAATAAGTCCCTACAAATGTCAAAGTGTTAGATGGTGTGAGTAAAGTGTAAACAGCTGAATAAAAAGCAAAGGGATGACTCATAATCTGATTAAATGAGGCAGAGATATAATTGCAAAAAATTAAAAATAAGGTGGTGCTGGAGACAAATGAAATGACTGCAATAATATGATAGGTATAACAGTCACATTGCCAAGGGTCTAACCAAAGTAATTAGTAATCCAAAACTGTACAAAACTAAGTAAAGTGGAGAGATAATAATTTATCAAGGTGATGGTGTCAAAACAGGACAGTAAGGAAGATTTTACAGATACAGAAGTGTGGAGTGTTCACGTAGCGCGACATGAAACCGAAGATCACACTTGAGGCTGTCCTCATGAGTATGGAACTTGGTTATCAGTTTCTGCTTGGCGATTCTGCATTGCTGAGTATCTCGAAGACCACCTTGGAGAATGCTTACCCAAAGATCAAAAGCTGAACGTGCTTGACTGCTGAAGTTTTCCCGGACTGGGAGGGAACTTTCCTGTCTAGCGATTGTTGCGTGATGTCCATTCATCGGTTGTCATAGTGTCTGCATGGTTTCGCCAATATACCATGCCTCGGGACATACTTGCCTGCAGTGTTTGAGACAGAGAACATTGGCCACGTCACATGAGTATCTGCCGTGTACATGGTGGGTGGTGTTCCCATATGTGATGAGCAGAAACGGATAGCCAAGTCCTATACTCATGCAGACAGCCTCAACTGATCTTGGGTTCACATCGTGGTACATGTGACCCCGCCACACTTCTGTATCTATAAAATCTTTCTTACTGTCCTGTTTTGTCACCATCACCTGGTGAAATTGTTATGATCTCGCTCTACCTTAATTAGTTTGTACAGTTTTGGATTCTTTGTTACTTTGGTTTGACCCTCAGCATGCAACTCTTTTACCTATCATGTTATTCCAGCCATTTGGTTTATCTCCAGTACCGCCTTATTTCTAAATTTTTGCAATTATTTCTCTACCTCATTTAATCAGATTATAGATCATCCCTTCACTTGTTATTCAGCTGTTGACACTTTACTCACACCATCTAACTCTTCGATCAACTGCAGAGACTTATTATTTGACACTCCATTCACACTGTTTGTATGTTCTTTTGATCTCTTTGCCCTTAAATTCTGTGTCTGCGTGCTTCTCTCTCAGTTCACCTGACAAAGGGGCTACTCTCCGAAAGCTTGTGATTTCAAATAAACCTGTTAGCTATAACCTGGTGTCGTGTGACTTCTGACTAAACACCTCTTAAACATTGCTATCATGTTTACTTCTACCACTTCCTCTTGGCAACACATTTCAGGCACCTACCACCCTCCATGTAAAAAAAAAACTTGCCTTGCACATCGCCTTTAAACTTTTCTCCTCTCACCTTAAACCCAATGATGCCTAGTATTTGATATTTCCACCCTGTTGATACCTCATAATTTTACATACTTCTATCAGGTCACCTCTCAGCCTCCGATGCTCTGGCAAAAACAATCCAAGTTTGTCCAATCTCTCCTTATTGCGAATATACTCTAACCCAGGCAACATTCTGCTAGACTACATCTGCACCCACTCCAAAGCCTCCATATCTTTCCTTTAGTGTGGTCACTAGAACTACTTACAATACTCCAAATGTGGCTTAAATAAACTTTTATACAGCTGCAGCATAACTTGCCAATGTTTATACTCACTGCCCCAACAGATGAAGTTAAGCATGCCGTAGACCTTCTTTACTACCTTATCCACTTGTATTGCCACTTTCAATGAACTATGGACTTGCACCAAGATGCCTCTGTATATCGATGCTCCCAAGGGTCCTACCATTTACTGTATACTTTCCTCTTGCATTTGACCTTAAAAATTGAATCATCTCATAGGGTTAAACTCCATCGGCCATTTCTCTGCCCAACTTTTCAACTGATCTAATGCTGTATCCTTTGCCAATCTTCATTACTATCCATAACTCCACCAACTTTCATGTTGTCTGCAAACTTACTAATCCGATCACCTACATTTTCTTCCAAATTATTTATATCTATACTAGAGATCCCAACACCGATCCTTGCAGAACACCACTGGTCATAGACCTCCAGTCAGAAAAACATTCCTCCACAAATACTCTGTCTTCTATCACCAAGGCAAGTACTTATCCAACTTACCAACTCACTGTGCATCCCATATTCTTTAATCTTCTGGACCAGCCTACCATGACGTACCTTGTCAAATGCTTTACTAAAGTCTGTGCAGACTATGTCCATTGCCTTACTCTCCATCATCTTTATCACTTCCTCAAAAAAACTTAAATCAAATTTGAAACAAGGCCTCCCCCACATAAAGCCATGC